CCCTGGGGATCAGAGTGCTTCATCTCAGGGAAATATTACTGAGAGCTGGATTTGAACAATTCCTCGGACTGGGCTGTGGGGGTCTGTAAGGATTCTTGGTTGAGCAACAGAAACCAGCTCATTGAATCTGAGGGTGCATTTCTTCTTCTGTGTGTCAAGGAGGGTGATCATTACAGTCTCTTCACCACATGCCCACTATTCCAGCACTATATAGAGAGACCACTGGGCCGGATTGGTGTGTTTCTCGATTTTGGAGAGGGATGTTTAAGTTTCGTGAATGTTAGTTACCAAGAGTTCTCTCATATACAAGTATCCTCCTGGCACCTTCAATCCCTCTGTCAGGCCTTTCTTCTCCACTGGCCCCATGTGATCCTCGGAAGACGTAATCCCAGTTCTTTAGTGTTTTTAAGTATTTGTTAATGTAATGTTACCTCATTTATTGTTAAAAATATTAAATTATTATTAAATGAAAAATAAAGAGTATCTTCAATTTTCTGTCCCCTCCCCTGGAGTGAAAAATCTGAACTCTAGATCAGTAGTTCTCTGTCTGGTCCCTTTCATGCCAGGGTTCTTGTGGTGGTGTTTTATTTGTGCTCTGATAAATAAAACTTGCCTGGGGATCCATCAAAGAAAAGAAGGCAGCCACTTTTTTAAACATCGAAATCACATAGTGGTAACACGTGCCTTTAATCTTAGCAATTCGGGAGGCAGAGATTCATCCAGATCTCTGTGAGTTCAAAGCCACAATGTGAACAGAGCCTGTTATGGTGGTACATACCTTTAATCCTAGCATTAGTTAGCCATAGAGGTCTGGAGGTGTGTACAGACAGACAGGAAGTGATGTCGCTGGGCAGAGAGAGGAAGAAAGATGACAGGGCACAGAAACGTTATATGAGGCATGAGGAGACAGGAACTAAAGAGCAGTTCAACTGAGACCCTCAGCAGTGAGGACTGAGGCTTTCGGTCTGAGGATTCATGGAAACAGGATTGCCTCAGGAGTTGGCTATGGCTTGTTCTGTTTCTCTGATCTTTCAGCTTTCGCCTCATTATCTGGCTCTTGGTTTTTTTTTCTTCTTTTAATAAGACCATTTAAGATTTGTGTTACATGTTCTGGAGAACACCAGGAAAATCATGGACTATTGACATAAAAAATATATGGACTACTTGAGTGTGGTAGTGCATAGCTGTCATCCTAGTACTCCAGAGACTGGGAAAGAAAGTGGGAAATTCCAGGGCAGCACGGGTTATACCTTCCTCATAAGAATGAAGCTCATTAAAACTCTGATGTTCAGTAGAAGCAGTACAAACTGGCACAATCACTTTAGTAAACTAGCATGATCTAATAAATCGAAACATGTCCACACCACATGACTCAGTAGTGCCATTTGTAGGTATCCACGTGCTAGAAATATGTATTTTTATTCACCAAGAGACATGTATTAGCATAGTTGGAGGAAAAATTGTTCATAGCAGTACCTGGGGAGATGGCTCAGTGAGCAAGAGCATTTGCTGAGCAAACACAGAGATCTGAGTTCAAATCCTCAGCACCCATATAAAAGCCAGGCAAGGCCTCTCATGCCTTTTACCACAGCTTTGAGGTTGGATACAAGCATATCCTTGGATCATGTTGGTTAGGCACCTAGATAAAATGGAGTTTCAGGTTCTGTCAGAGACCCTTTATCAAGGGAAAAACCTGGTGTGTAATAGAGCAGGACATTTGACATCCTTCTCTGGCCTCACCCAAACACACATATGCCCATGTACATTTGTACCATACATAAACATAAAGTGTTCATCACAATAGCCAAAGTACAACTTCAGTGCTCATCATCAATAGAATGAGAATTAAATTACAGTTGATTAAACATGGGACACTGTGGTGATATATTTGGCACTCCAATGAAACTTATCTGGGGATTAGAGGACCTAGCCAGTCAGTAGATTAGACATGAGGCTAGATAGTGATGGCACACACCCCTAATCCTATCATTCGGGAAACAGAGATCCCTGTGAGTTCAAGGCCACATTGAGAACAGAGCCAGGCGAGATGGCACAAACCTTTAATCCCAACACTTGAGAATGCGTGCCTTTGCTTGGGAAGCACACACACCTTTAATCCCAGGAAATAAGATGGCAGGGCAGAAAAAGTTCTATAAGGCATCAGGAAACAGGAACTCACTATCTTGAGACTGAAGACTTCAAAGAGGTTAGAATTTGTAGTTGGCTAGCTCTTCTTCTCTGAGCTTTCAGTTTTGACCCCAATGTCTGCCTCTGGGTTTTTGTTAATAAGACTTATTAAGGTTTATGTTACATAAAGGGATCAGTGTCATATAAACCACCATATGAACAACTAGAGATTGATCCAGCTGAAGAATTCTGGAAGACAACGTAGAACCCAAACAAGAGAATGGAGCTGTCTATTCACCCATCCCCTCCCATTCTTTCTTACAGTCTCTATCTGAAGGCATGAAACTACTTCAATGAATAAATCATTTTTCCTAATTTTATGATTCTTTTGCTGTACTATTCACAATATTTGTTATGGCTCTAGAAATATTGTTGAAGAGGTGTCAGAAAAGATAGTAAGAGTCAGAATACTAGGAAATCTGCTGTGAAGCAGTCTCTGCTAGAAATGGTTACATAGACAAGACTAGAACAATGAATATGTTGATATGGATGTGGGAAAGTTTGAAGGAATCGTGATGGCTGTTCCTATTTGTCAAACTGACCACATGTGGAATTAAGCAAAACCCAAGAGATATGTGTGGGAACCACTCTGAATCTGGAGGAACAAAACTAAATGAATACTCAGGCCCACACATACAGAGAGATGGTGGAGAGAGAGAGAGAGAGAGAGACAGAGAGAGAGAGAGAGAGAGAGAGAGAGAGAGAGAGAGAGAGAGAGAGAGAGAGAGAGCATTTGTTTAGTCTGCAAGGCTGGATGTCTCGGCTGGTCTTCAGGGTACTTTGGAATCCACACCCCGAAAAAAGACTCTTATAGCAGTTAAGGGATGAACTTGCCAGTGAGAGCAAAGGTAAGATAACAAATAGAAAAGATGAGTTTCCTTCTTCCATGTCTTTTATAGAGTCTTCCACCAGAAGATGCAGCTAAGATTTCAGGTGTATTCTCACACCTCAAAATGTGTTTAGGTGGAACTTTATTACTTCAAATGATATTCAATCAAGAAAATTCCCTCACGAGAGAAACATCTCAGCCTCTTAGGTTTAGTTATTCTACATGATGTTTTTTAGTTTTTGTTTTTTGTTTTTGAGACAGGGTTTCTCTGTGTAGCTTTGGAGCCTGTCTTGGAACTCACTCTGTAGAGCAGGCTCGCTTCAACCTCACAGACATGAGCCTGCCTCTGCCTCCAGAGTCTGGGACCACCTGGCAGCCCAAACATGTATTTTTAAAAAAAGAAAAAGAAAAGAACAGAAACTTGAGTGGGTAGAGAAAAGGGGTGAATCTCAAAGAAATTGCAGTTGAAGTGAATATGATAAAAATACTTTGAACAAAATTATCAAAGATCTAATAAAAATCTTTTAATGTCAATATTTGCTAAAATCACAGATTGATATCATTATCTGTTACATTGTAAAAAGAAAAGCAAAATTATAAGCTCACCACAAAATATTTAGAAACAGTAAAATATTGTAACGAAATTACTCATTATTTTTTTTTTTTGGTTTTTTTTTTTTTTTTTGGTTTTTCGAGACAGGGTTTCTCTGTGTAGCTTTGCGCCTTTCCTGGAACTCACTTGGTAGTCCAGGCTGGCCTTGAACTCACAGAGATCCGACTGGCTCTGCCTCCCGAGTGCTGGGATTAAAGGCGTGAGCCACCACCGCCCGGCTTACTCATTATTTTTTTTAGACAAGTTCTCACTGTATAGGCTAGGCAGGCCTCTCTAAAACATGTTGGCTTTCATTTTTTTTTTTTTTTTTTTTTTTTTTGTTTTTTTGAGACAGGGTTTCTCTGTGTAGCTTTGCGCCTTTCCTGGAACTCACTTGGTAGCCCAGGCTGGCCTCAAACTCACAGAGATCCGCCTGGCTCTGCCTCCCGAGTGCTGGGATTAAAGGCGTGCGCCACCACCGCCCGGCTTGGCTTTCATTTTTTATACACTCAATATGCTGCTCTTCCTCTTGACCCTGGACCGGACACAGTCTCCTATACTCTGCTCGGATCATTTGCTCCCGCAGTGTCAAGTAGTCCGTCCACAGAGTTGTCATTCTGTTCTCTGCCTCGCTATTCCCTTTATTTTCTTGGATCTTCTCCCTCAAAGAGGCCATTTGCTGTAAAAGTCTTTCCATTTGCCCCTCAGCAGCTACTTCGATGGGACCATGTTGGTGACCTCTGTGCTCAAGGGAGTCAGAGCAGAGCTGACAGAGGTAGATCCTGTTCTCAACACAGAAGATCCTTTTTGTCTCCTTGTGGGTCACACATTTATGCTCCTCAGAGCTCAGGTACTTCATGAGGCTGGCTTGTCTGGCAATGGACACCAGCTTCTTCAGAACAGTGTTGGTTCTGAAGTCCTTCTGCTCGGATGGTTCCCTACATGTAGGGCAATGGACAGGAAGCTGGATGTCTTCCCAAGAAAGGTGGAGGCAGGCTTGACAGAAGCTGTGGCCACAGCTTATGGTGACTGGGTCAGTAAGGCAGTTCAGGCAGATGAAGCAGGGGAGTTCTTCCTGGAAGGCTTGTGAGATGTCTGACTCCATTTCTCCACAGAGTTCTCTCTGGCCTTAGCAATATTGAGTCAGGACAGAACAATATTAGTTCAACTCTGGGGTCCAATCCTCAATGTTTGGATTGAACTAGCAGTTTCTGGAGCCAGAAAGTTTGGAAACATACTCTGTCTGGTCTGGTGAAGAGTTAACCTGGCTGGCACTTGGAGTGTGATTTTTTTTTTTTATTCTGAAACTTAACTGTACAGTATCTAAAAAGAAAGTCACTGGTGAAACAACCTCCTACTTCCCGCTTTCTATATGTGTGGAGGAATCTGCACAAGAGGAGGTCAGCAGATATGCTGCTACCACAGAGCAGGCTGAGGGGAGCCAGGTCCAGTTTGCTGGGAGCCATTAGCCTTTGGAGTACCTGGAGCTGGAGGTGGACTGTCCCCAGCTTCCTACTTCTGCCCCACAGAGGGCACTGCCCCCAAGTGGGGATGGCAAAGATGATGAGGGGGGGACTGGAGAAGGATGAGAAGGAGGGTCTCCTTTGCCTTCCCCTGTTGGGGGAAGGGAGACCACAATGTATTTCTGAACACGGCCAGGGCCAGCAGGGGCTGTGCTTGGGGGTCCGGTGGTGGCCTTAGAGACCACTCTGATGATGGGCTGCACGCTGGGAACCGTGGTGGTGACAGGAGAGGTAATGGTAGAGCCTGAGCCAGGAGCTGAGGTGCCGAGGGACAAGACCCGCTGGGTCGAAGAGGCACTGGAAGATGAGGACATTACAATAAAATTGGTTGGAGGAAAAGAAGGCTGAGGAGGGGCAGCAGCTCTAGCAGACACCAGTGTCTGGACAGGCAAGGCAGTGGAACCAGGAATCTTCAATAAGCCAGGGGTCCGAGGGCCTGGCTGAGGGGCCTGCGAGAGGGTCAGTGTGGGCCGAGGCTGTGTGATGGTGAGTGTGGTCCTGTTGACCTGCTGAGCTTGTAGAGCAGCCTGGGCCCTGGCCTTCACGACATGGGAGCAGAGAAGGGGCCCAAGGGACCCAAATTCTCCCCGGTAGGCATCCTGATCATCAGGTGGAGGGCGCAGCTTCGCCAGTACCGGGGCACAGTGTTTCAGGAGAAGGCTCTGCACACGGTCTGCTGCGATATGGTCAATGTTGCTCAGCACAGGCCCATCCAGGACCCTGCGGATCCGTTCCCCTTCCTGCTGCAGCCTTGGCAGAATCAGCATCTTAATCACATTGTGTCCCAGCTCTGCCAGGCCTGCAATAGAGCCATATCGAGTTGTCCACGGAGTCTTCTCATCTACCCAGCACTTAGTAAAGGTCTTGGTGATCCGGGACTGGATGTTGTTGGTGGTTGTGCTGAAATGTTTACAGATCTGGGCCACTAGACAGGCAGCAAAATCCCGGAGTGCCCATTGACTGTCCACATCCAGCTGCAGACACAGCTGTCTCTACACAATGCAGGTCATTACCGCTGGAATCAGCTCATGCACATATTTCTTTAGATACAGCGTGGGATTGTCTATCAGGGCCTTCACCATGCGCATCAGATAGATGAGCAAGGCCAGGTTATTCTGAACCACGTTTACACGGACCCCCTCAGAGATGAAGATACTGAACCATGGTAGCATGTGATAGAGCCCCGGGTCGGTGGCAATGCTTTGCAGAGCTTCTGCTCTCTTGGCCTCACAGGATCCTACACAGGCTTCTGTGATCGTTTTGTGATACAACTGCTGTTCCACTGACAGCTTATGGATGCTGCAGGGCTTCAGGCACAAAGTGGCTCCCTCCAGCAAAGGAGGTGCTTTCTTCTCTTCTCCTTTGCCATCAGCTACAGCTGCCCCTTGACCTTTGCCTTTCAGGGGTCCATCTTCTTGGTCTGGCTTTGCTGACTTCAGGGGTTCTGTGGCCTCATTCTTCTGCTGCTCTTTGTGTGCTGGGGGTGGATTCTCTGGTATAGCTGGCTGGCAGCCTTCAATGCTCAGCCAAAGTGCTTTGAGGCAGACATCCAGAGGCACCTGAGGCAGAGGGGTGTTGATGATATCGCTTAGGTCCACTTGCTTCTCCTCATAGAAGTAAAGCTCTTGGCCCCCACCAGAGGTTGACCGGAAAGGGATGAATTCCTGAGCATGGAAGCCATACAGTGGCTCCACGTTCTTTAGCTTCAATGCATAGTCAATGTCACTGGTAGTGAGTTTCTTCTGCTTTCCCATGTGCATGAACTTCAAAGCATTCTGGGCAATCTCCTTGATGCGGTAGCTGACCTCATCTGTCAGGAGTTGGCAAGTCTCCTCCTGAATCTGAGCAATGCCCATGGACTCTGCCACCAACTTCATGGACTCAGAGGGCAACACAGTATTGCTGAGTTTCAGCTTCTTCTCTTTGGCCATACTGGAATTCCAACTCCTGTCCCTGGAAGGATGCCACCCCAGGGTGGAGAGATGGAGCCAGGCTGCCAAAGAGCTGCTTAGGAGTGTCCTTTTATAGTCTCTAAAGACCACAGCCACTCCTTCCCAAGTTGCTTTCCATTGGAAGATTGAATTAACTCTGAGGCCAGTCTCCACAAGCAATTCTGGACAAGGTTTCCCTAGTCACTGCTTAGCTGGGTGTGGTAGTTCACACCTTTAATCCAAGAATCCTAGGGAATGGCCTGCTGAATTGGGAGAAGTTGTGGTTCAAGGCCTGCCTAGCCTATACAGTGAAAACTTGTCTTAAAATAAAATGAGTAATTTTGCTACAATATTTTACTATTTCTAGATCTTTTGTGGTGTGCTTATTTTTTGATTTTCTTTTTACAATTTAACAGGTAATTATATCATTCTGTGATTTTTAGCAAATATCAACATTTAAAGATCCTTATTATTTCTTTGATAATTTTGTTCAACTTATTTTTATCATAGTCACTTCAACTGCAGTGTCTTTCAGATTCATCCCCTTTCTCTATCCACTCAACTTTGTTTTCTTTTTTTCTGTTTTTAAAGAATAAAAGGGGATGCGGGTGGCTGTGCCTCATGCCTTTATCCCCAGCACTCTGGAGGCAGAGGCATACTGATGTCTGTGAGGTCAAGGCTAGCCTGGTATACAGAGTTAGTTCCAAGACAAGCTCCAAAGCTACACAGAGAAACCCTGTTTCAAAAAACAAACAAAAGAAATGTAGAATTAACTAAAACCCAAGATGCTGAGATTTTTCTCATGAGGGAATTTTCTTGATAGAATCATTTGAAGTAGTAAGCCCCACCTAAACTCAGATGTTTTGAGGTGTGAGAATACACCTTACATCTTAGCTTCATCTTCTGGTGGCAGCCTATAAAGGGTTTGCTTTTTGTTAACTTGCCCCCGCTCTCACTGGCAAGTTCATCCCTTCCCTGGTATAAGAGCCTTTTCTGGTGGTGGAGATTCCAAAGTACACTGAAGACTGCCTGAGCCATCTAGCCTTGTAGACTGAACAAATTGTCTCTCTCTATGTCTTTCTCTTTCTGTCTCGCTCTCTCTCTGTTTCACTCTCTCTTTCTCACTCTCTGTCTCTCTGTCTCTGTCTCTCTGTCTCTGTCTCTCTCTCTCTTTCTCTCTGTCTCTGTCTGTGTCTCTTTGTCTCTCTCTCTGTCTCTCTTTCTTTCTCTCTGTCTGTGTCTCTCTATCTGTCTCTCTCTCTGTCTGTCTCTCGCTGTCTCTCTCTCTGTCTCTGTCTCTCTGTCTCTGTCTCTCTGTCTCTCGCTGTCTCTCTCTCTGTCTCTGTCTCTCTGTCTCTGTCTCTCTGTCTCTCTCTGTCTCTCTCTGTCTCTCTTCTCTCTATGTTTGTGCCTGAGTAGTCATTTACTTTTGTTCTTCCAGATTCAGAGTGGTTACCACACTTATCTCTTGGGTATTAGTTAATTCCATATGTAGTCACATTTACAACCAGGAATAACCATCACAAAGGATGACCACCTTGTGTTGAATGATCAGTTAGGAAGGCCATTTCTTTTTTTTTTTTTTTAATTTATTTTAATTTATTTTGCAATACAATTCAGTTCTACATATCAGTCACGGATTCCCTTGTTCTCCCCCCTCCTGTCCCCCTCACCTTCCCCCCAACGCCCCCCCCCCCCATTCCCATCTCCTCCAGGGCAAAGCCTTCCCCACAGACTGAGGTCAACCTGGTAGACTCAGTCCAGGTAGGTCTAGTACCCTCCTCCCAGGCCAAGCCAAACAATCCTGCATAGGCCCCAGGTTTCAAACAGCCAACTCATGCAATGAGCACAAGATCTGGTCCCACTGCCTGGATGCCTCCCAAACAGATCAAGCCAATCAACTGTCTCACCCATTCGGAGGGCCTGATCAAGTGTGGACCCCTCAGCCATTGGTTCATAGTTCATGTGTTTCCATTCATTTGGCTATTTGTCCCTGTGCTTTATCCAACCTTGGTCTCAACAATTCTCGCTCATATAAACCCTCCTCATTCTCGTTGATTGGACTCCCAGAGATCCACCCAGGGCCTAGTCATGGATCTCTGCATCCAGATCCCTCAGTAGTTGGATGAGGTTTCTAGCACAACAATTAGGGTGTTTGGCCATCCCATCCCCAGAGTAGGTCAGTTCGGGCTGTCTCTCGACCATTGCCAGCAGTCTGTTGTGTGGGTATCTTTGTGGATTTCTGTGGGCCTCTCTAGCACTTTGCTTCTTCCTGTTCTCATGTGGTCTTCATTTACCATGGTCTCCTATTCCTTGTTCTCCCTCTCTGTTGTTGATCCAGCTGGGATCTCCCGCTCCCCCAAGCTCTCTTTCCCTCGACCCTCGCCTTTCATTACCCCCACTCATGTCCAGGCTGTTCATGTAGATCTCATTTCATTTCTCTGTCATTGGGCGATCCCTGTGTCTTTCTTGGGGTCCTGTTTTCCGGGTAGCCTCCCTGGTGATGTGAGTAGCAGACAATTCATCCTTGTTTCATGTCTAGTATCCTGCTATGAGTGAGTACATACCATGTTTGTCTTTCTGAGTCTGGGTTACCTCACTCAGGATGATTTTTTCTAGATCCATCCATTTGTCTGCAAACCTCATGATGCCATTGTTTTTTTCTGCTGAGTAGTATTCCATTGTGTATATGTACCACATTTTGTTTATCCATTCTTCAGTTGAAGGGCATCTGGGTTGTTTCCATGTTCTGGCTATTACAAACAATGCTGATATGAACATAGCTGAACAAGTGCTCTTATGGTGTGGTTGAGCATTTCTTGGGTATATGCCCAAGAGTGGTATAGCTGGATCTTGGGGGAGATTGATTCCCAATTTTCTAAGAAAGCGCCATATTGATTGGGAAGGCCATTTCTAATAGAGGCTAATTCTTTGTCTAGGGGTGAGACTCTTTCAAACTGTTTCACGTCCATATCAACATTCATTTTTCTAGTCTTGTTTATGTAACCATTCCTAGGAGAGACTGTTTCTCAGCAGATTTCCTAGTATTCTGGCTCTTGCTATCTTTCTAACACCTCTTCCACAATATATCTGCTGCCAGTGATACCGGAGCTAGGATACAGATGCATCTGATGGATTTCAGATCCCTAGAATCTCTTGATTTTTGCATTCTTCATTGTGATATTCTGTGAGTATCTGCTTATATGGCTAATTGCTTCTTTTTTCTTTTTTTATTTCTTGTTTTTTTAATTTAATATTGTTTTCATTTTACAAACCAATCAGTTTCCCCTCTCTCCCCTTCTCCCTCTTCCCCCTGCCTCCCCCCAATTCCCATTCAGTCCTCAGAGAACAAAAGGCCTGTCTTGTGGAGTCAACAAAGTCTGACACACCATGTTGAGGCAGGACCTATCCCTCCTCCCTGCATTTGGGCTGAGCAAGGTATCCCACCATAGGGTATGGGCTCTAAAAACATCCAGTTCATGCACCAGGGATAAATCTTGGTACCACTGCCAAGGGCCCCACAAACAGATCAAGCCACATAACTGTCACTCACATTCAGTGGGCCTAGTTTGGTCCCATGCAGGTTCCCCAGCTGTCAGTCCAGAGACTCCCACTGGTTCCGTTCAGCTGTCTCTGTGGTTTTCCCATTCATGATCTTCATCCCCCTTGCTCATATAATCCTTCCCCCTCACTTCAATTGAACTCCAGGAGCTTGGCCTAGTGCTTAGCTTTAGATCTCTGCACCTGCTTCCATCAGTTACTGGATGAAGGCTCTATTATGACAATTAGGGTAGTCACCAATCTGATTACAGGGGAAGGCCAGTTCAGGGACCCTCTTCCCTATTGCTTGGAGTCTTATCTGGGGTCCTCTTTGTGGATTCCTGGTAATTTCCCTCGCATCAGGTTCTCCCTAACCCCATAATGGCTCTCTCTCTCTCTCAAGATATCTCTTTCCTTGCTCTCCCTCTCTGTTCCTCCCCCAACTTGACAATCCTGTTCCCTCATGTTCTCCTTCCTCTTTCTCTTCCCCCTCTCAATTTACTCAGGGAATTTTACCTATTTTTTCCTTCGTAGGATGATCCATGCATGTTCCTTTTAGAGTCCTCCTTGTTACCTAGCTTCTCTGGGATTGTGGATCATAGCCTGATTATCCTTTGCTTTACATGTAATATCTACTATGAGTAAGTACACACCATGTTTGTCTTTCTGTTTCTGTGTTACCTCATACAGGCTTTTTTTTCTAGTTCCATTCACTTGTCTGCAGATTTTATGATGTCATTTTGTTTTTAACCACTGAGTAATACTTCATTGTGTAAATGTACCACATTTTCACTATCCATTCTTTGGTTGAGGGGCATCTAGGTTGTTTTCAGGTTCTGGCTATTACAAATAAAGCTGCTGTGAACATAGTTGAGCAAATGTCTTAATGGTGTGATTGAACATCTTTTGGGTAAATGCTCAAGAATGATATTGCTGAGTCTTGAGGTAGATTGATTCCCAATTACCTGAGAAGCTGCCATACTGATATCCAAATTGGCTGTACAAGTTTGCACTCCCACCTGCAGTGGAGGGGTGTTCTCCTTACTCCACATCCTCTCCAACATAAGCTGTCATAAGTGTTTTTGATCTTAGCCATTCTGACAGGTATAAGATGCTATCTCAGGGTCATTTTGATTTGCATTTCCCTGATGGCCAAGGATGTTGAGCAATTCTTTAAATGTCTTTCAGTCTTTTGAGATTCTTCTGTTGAGAATTCTGTTTAGATCTGTACCCCATTTTTTATTTGGATGTTTTTATAAGGGGGGCTAGTGTCTTGCTCTGGGGCTCTTGGTGGGTTGGGCAATTGGACTTATTGAGAACAAATGTACAAGGAGGTACTGGACTACTATGTACATTTGGAGGGCAAGTGTAAAGTTATAAGAAAGTGAAAGAGTGAGATATTTCAATTAGAGGATAATGCATATGTAATTGAGAGCTATTTATTTTGAAGAAGTGTTATGATATAGAGACTCAAG